TTGATTTTGCTCACGTTGATCCTAGGAAATATGCTTGCTTGACTCATAATTGAAAGAAATAGAAGTTTTCTCTCACCATGCATAAACTCTCGTACACTTGTCGATAAGTCGTTCCAAGACACGGTCAATTTCAACTAAATAAAAGATGTTGCTATTACTATTTCCTCTCAATCATGCTTAATCACAACACTGACGCTCTTGAACACAGCGCAGTTCAGTTCATGTTCCGCCCAGAGACTTTGTGAATGAAAGACAAAGCAAAAACAAGCTGAAGCTGGCTCAGATTTCATGTGTTTACAATCAGCGTAACCCTGCTTGACCACATTTATTTGATCCAAACGCTCTTTTCTAGAGCGAAATTAAAGGATAAAGGATAAGGTCACTCGGCGTCAATCAAATCCGTCCGAGGAATGTGCCGCCGCATTCGTATTACGTTCAGACTCGTAGAAATGTATTGAATGTTAATGTATCCTATACATTGAGCCAGCCGAGATACCAGTCAATGCTTTCATCTTCCTAGACGAGTCTGGTACCGACTCAGAAGGGTCGTCCCCAGTCGATTCTTCGGTATTCAGGCTCTGAAGAAGGCGAGGAGGCCGATATATCAGGTTATCAAAGTGATACTATATCGGCAAAGCTGACGCCATCAAACTCATAACTCAGAACTACTGTTATTCAACCACCATCATCACTACTACGAAGCTCATAAATTCCTCAGTGATGCCCTCACCAATGAAATTCCCAGTTAGAAGCATTTTGAACGTTGTGTAACGGATATAAAGGGTAAACACTTCTAAGCGGAATAGCGCAGCATTTTATTATTGTGTGTAGATGGGTTAAAATCGAGCAGCAAGAAGCTTTGAATACCAAAATAACAAAAACAATTCACAAATACCCTAAAAAACAAATTGTTTACAAAAGGCAAAACGATTATCTAAGGAGATTCCTTCAGCAGCTCTTCAATATCAGCAGTCATTCCGCTAGGAGATGTCGTAGGTGCGTACCTGAGTAAGAGGAAGTGAAAAACAGTGAAAATCAGCCAAGCAGTGCAAAGGTTTCTGTACTGCGTTGCACTTCAAACTTAATTTCAAATAATACAACTCGTTCTAAGTGCGTAATAGGTATGAAGCTCAGATTTGTTTCGTACAACCTGTTCACTTAACTTCAAACATGTGTAGTTGCCAATTCGTAAAAGGGGATATCCCGACAGGACTGTGGCGGGGCAAAACGGGCTGCCGTCAAAGTACAGCCGCGACACTGCTTCGTTATCTGAGCTTTGGCAGTCGGATATAATCAGAATTTAACTGTTTGTATGATAGGCCGGTGATCCATTGCAATGAACGGGTATATTATAAACCTCATGATGAATGCCGGATTGAGAACCTACAAGTGAGAAAGCCCATCATTAACAGGTGCTTTGCTGTTCAATTCATACAAAGCCTGCCAATGACTATAAGTGGTTCAGCCCGAGCTCTAATAATCTAGGTCGCCTTCAAAGTCAGCGCTTCCGGACTGAACGACAAGATTGGCCTAAACAGTGATTGAGAAGGTTCATATCATGGAAAAGAACGGAAAAACTGATCCAAGACTTCAAAAATTCCTACAACAACGAACAACATCTATTGTNATTTGTTTCGTACAACCTGTTCACTTAACTTCAAACATATGTAGTTGCCAATTCGTAAAAGGGGATATCCCGGCAGGACTGTGGCGGGGCAAAACGGGCTGCCGTCAAAGTACAGCCACGACACTGCTTCGTTATCTGAGTTTGGCAGTCGGATATAATCAGAATTTAACTGTTTGTATGATAGGCCGGTGATCCATTGCAATGAACGGGTATATTATAAACCTCATGATGAATGCCGGATTGAGAACCTACAAGTGAGAAAGCCCATCATTAACAGGTGCTTTGCTGTTCAATTCATACAAAGCCTGCCAATGACTATAAGTGGTTCAGCCCGAGCTCTAATAATCTAGGTCGCCTTCAAAGTCAGCGCTTCCGGACTGAACGACAAGATTGGCCTAAACAGTGATTGAGAAGGTTCATATCACGGAAAAGAACGGAAAAACTGATCCAAGACTTCAAAAATTCCTACAACAACGAACAACATCTATTGTAACCCCCCCCCCCCCCCCCCCCCCCCNCCCCCCCCGACCTTCGAATTTCTTCAACATGTGTTCCCGCGAGAAGAAGTATTGCAACTAACATACGAACCTACGATGCTTTGAAGAGGAGTGATAGAAGATGGAAGGCCAGCAGCGCCGGTTAAGGCCGAATAAGCTGAAAAGAGCACCTACATTACCGGCTGCGCTGGTTACCTGACCAAGAGGGCATATACTCGTCGTACTAATAGAGCAGTTACTGCATACCCGAAGGCAATGGTACTCGATTCTGCTGTTCTCACTTGGGTTCGACATATTAGTACAAAAAATACCACACACACGACTTAGACCAGCACTCCTGAAGAGTATTCTGTCGGGTATCGCATAATACACGGCGCTTTCTCATAAAATGCAAGTCACCAAGTCCGTTATTCGCGGTCAGGTACTCTCCATTCGGCTCTGAGGGGAGCTATTCTGCCCACCGATTTGAAGGAAGCTCCTGGTCGTGTTGAGAAAAAGCGGTCTGTGGATGTGGGACTTCAGGCAACATGACAACTTCACGAGGGAAAATTTCATCAGCGCAAGAAAAACACCGTCGATCCGAGAATGAGTACAACAGGGCATGTCACTTCACTCATATTTTCAGCGCTCCTCTCCAAAGAATCGTGCGTCATTTGGAAGCGAAGAACATGGGAAAGAAAGCAGACTGCAAACAGTTGCACCACTTCCGGTCCGTAAATGAAATCAAGCTGAAAGGGCCGTGTATCGAGCACGCGGAATGCATGAGCTGGTGGGAAGATTGACAACAACCGAACCTTTGAAGGCATGTTCAGGGTATCGAACTGATCTTGAACGGCTCCTTCTACGCTTAACGAGACCAACATGAAAAAGCTATCCTGCGCGTATTTGATAATGGAACCGGCAATATGGTTGAACTAGCAGTTAGACGAGCATAAGGTCACAGTCCGAGTGATTGGTAAGGAAGGCAAAGAACATTCGACTTAGCGCCCACCTTTTGACTATGCTGCCCTCTCTACGAACAGGAAAAGCAGTTATTTTGCCTCATTTCCTTTACTATGAAAAAGAGAATGCTCAAATGGCCGCCACTTTCGCTCAAAAGCTGAAGAGGGCCTGAGTCCGAGCGCTGCCACGAACCAAAACTGGGAAGCTTCCCACAGTCTTGAAACTGAAGATTAGGTGAACCGCACACCTCATGGATCTCATCGTAACTACTGAATTGGGGCATTTACCGACTGGATGTTCTGATGAAAGAAATAATTATCGCTCCGAGCACGATGAAAGCCACTAATTACATTGCATCTCAACATGCATAGGTACAAATGAGACGTTTCTGGGAAGGCTCAGGCAAATCGATGATTAGCAGGACAACAGGTAATACGAACTTGACCTTGTATCGGATATTATCGGGAAAAAGACGCTTCGGCGGTCTCATTCGATATTCTCGGTCTCTTCTCCATCAAGAGGAAGAATGAATGACTCGGGAAAAGAAGTCTGTACAGAAGATGCATGCTCTAATAACATCACCCCAATTCTGACAATAGGGAGCAAGGTTAACAAAAATAGCTATGACGACAACAATGAGTGACCCTGATATGTGAAGCTAAACCAATTACCTTTTTACCACGTAGCCTTTTCGATTAATCAAAAATTTCGTGAAGTTCCACTTGATTGCGTTGATTAGTGTGCCTCCTTGCTCCTTCTTGAGGAACTGCCAAAATGGATCGGCTTCAGCTCCATTCACTTTGACCTAAAACAAAACCAAGTTACGGTAAAGCGCTCTGGGCTGTAGTTTGATTAGAGATATGAAAGTAAATCCACTGGGATACTGTATTCACCCGACGATTCAAACCACGCAATGGAGGGGGGGGGGGGGAGTGAAGACGCATTCCTTTTAATTTGATTTCGATGAACTTCGGGATTTTTATTTAGTTATGGCAGGGAAATGCTTCGAGAAGCAAAATACGGAACTGTTAGAATGTGAGGCTAGGCGGAGCCTGAGCCGCGCATTAATCCTTGCCCAATCCCGAGCCTGAAGATACGATTCTGACTAGTTTAGTAAAGAACTTCGAATTCGATACTTTCCAGTTGATGTCATCTGAGTAGAAATGCTTTTTTTCCAGGACCGCCTATGAATGCTCATTGGAAAGATCTGAGGTAGACAGAGTCCCTATAAAATTGAATAAAAAAGGTATAGTCCAAAAAAGCGAATCAAATGAGATCTCCAGCTCAAAGCTGATGGTACTTTTGCTTTTCACTGAGGCTTAGCTCTGAATGAAAAGAGAAAACAGCCCAAGACGCGAGAATTCTTCAATTCGCGGATCTTATAACTTGACTGAACGCAATACAAGAAGAGCGTAGGGACCGCCCATCCAGACAGAACGTACCTTTGCGTACAAATCCGGTTCGTAATTGTATGTATCCTTGACAAATTTTAGGATTTCAGCTTCACATGCCGGCTCCTTAACAAGCAGTCATTAGAACAAGTGTCATGCGAAAAGATGTTGAAATTTAAGGCAAGAAAAATTCGATTAAATGGATTGCCACCAACTGTTTGCAACCAGCCTTCTGCAATGATACCCCGCCTATCGAGCCCTTTTTTCTGAGTCACAACACGACTGATACCCAAGAATAAAGAATTTTACATATGTTGCATTTCAGCAGTAAGTAACAAGTATCAGGCGATTCCTGCTTAAGTGTTCCTTTAGTTACGAAAAAGATCTGCTAATAGCTAACCACATAATAGTTGTAATGCTTATATGGTCTAAGCGAAAATATATTCTGGGAACAGTTATTGAAGTGCAGGTCTGCCTACGTAATTATTGCAAAATTCATAAACGGACAGATTGCTCCAGCAATTTTTTATGCATATGGAAAGCGTGACACGTACATACCTTTACCACCGCACTAAAGCATATAATAAAATTGAGCATTCTCGTGGAAATGCTCGGCATGGCTTCACAAGTGCCATGCCGACTCATTCAGCCTTTCCTTCCAACTAAGACTTTGCTTTTCCATTAATCCAAGGAGCTATGTCACAGAAGCAGCCTGTTTTTTTCACTACAGATAACTGCATGTTCCCTAAAGTTTTCTGCAGGCCGCCTTCATATACAAAAATAACGCATTAGGAAGCAGCTGCAAATGGTATCTCGTATGAGAGCAAAATGGAGTAATACACATTGAATAATGGGTAGGCGAAACCTTGCGACCGCAGCTATCGTGAACTTCTTTAGAACTTTCCATTATTTCATCAAAAAACTCAGCTATTAGGTTCTCTCCGGAGTACGGAGCAACTTTGAAGGGGGATTCTTGCATTACGGCTATTCGTGGCCCTCTACTCGAGATCTCGTGGATTGGAACAATGCACAAGGAGTCATCTGCGCATTAAATTTGCAAGAAAGGATACTATTTAATCAGAATATAAGGCAACAAATACGCCACAAAGTAACTCGAGAATCCCTTTTAACAGCACCCTCAAATTTGCTAATCCGGCCGGTCGGCGGACTATGAAAACAGCCACTCGAGTAGCACTCCTCACATTAGGCTACTTCCTTTATCTTGTACCGAGTCGAACGTAAGTGATACCATGATCACCAATGTTAGATTGATTCGCATGGAAGATCGGCTTCCTCTTCCTGATAATGTCGCTTTTTCCCCTAATCCTCCTTATCACAAATGGTAACTCGCGATCAAGGACTACCAAACAAATAAATGAACCTCGAAAAACACAAGTAACGACCCGGTAGCAAACTTGGTTTCATGTAATCGTGTAATTATTTGCAAATCGTTGAAATTCCAAACAGAATGTCCTGCTTCTTGTTTTCTACCTCGCTATGGATTCCAGTCTCTTCAAAGGAATTTTTCAAAATCGAATGAATTGAATAACAGAAACTCATCGGCTACCTGCCCACCGAACTGATTGCATGGAAACGCAGCAACCCGAAGACCTTGGTCATGATACTTGTCATGGAGAGCCTTTAATTCCGTGTAGTGATTCTTGGTATAACCACATTTGGATGCGACGTTCACTATGATAACGACCTGCCCTCTGAAAAGAAAATTGGTAACAGGGAATAGCACAAATTAAGGTCATCACGAGGAAAACGAAAGAAAGGAGTCTAACAAACCACACTTGTATTTGCTTAGGGAAACATCTTTCCCTTCGGCATCTTTAACCGTAAATTCATAGATCGTTTTATGTTCAGACATTGCTTCGGTATCGTCAGAGCTGAAATCAAAGTGTGTGAAGAAGATATTCATATATTCCGAGTCACATTTTCATAAGATTTGTCAAAAGAATAGGTAATTCAAGGATGTCGAGGAAGGGCGGCATCGTTTCTTTCCAAAGAAGGATATTTCTCAAGTTAATAACAAATTATTTAGAAAAATTTATAACTGAAGTCCATAAACTTCAGAGATAACCAGAGGTATGAAATGGGACAGAGCTTCTTGGCAGCTTAACAGCTCCGTCACTGTTTTGTTGGGATTATTTGTGTGATAAGAGGGGTAGAGATGCCTCTGAGACCGAAATTGTCTTTCCAGGTGTGTCGTAATGAATATTTACTGACGACCATAATCAAAAAGTTCAATTTTGCATTAGACTTACATAGCTTCGGGCCAGTTATGGTATTAACAAGGGCTTCATAGCTAAAGATGGTGCACCATCGTTTGAAATGGATTACTCGATAAATTGAAGAAAAAAAACCGATTGTAACGACACGCTCTCTCAAAATTAACGACTTACATGTTCAAACACGATGAAATGCGACTAACCAACGTGTATTGCGTTCTCACACGTCAACGTCATTTCACATGGACGGAAGTGGTGAAATGGCGAATGGCGCACTATCACACAGACATGGTCACTGGTTCGTACCTCGGATCGATGTTCGCCTATGCCAACCAAGTCTGTCATCACTGTGGGATGATATTAGGGACAAGATTTGTTTGCAAGGCTTGAAGCATATTCCCCACCACCCATTGTTTATCTATGGGACACACCCGCACTAACACTCCTAAATTTCTGAATTGAAGTTCAATGCGCGGGTGCATCCCGAAAACTTAATCTTTTAACGCTGGAAGACTTTATCCTTTATCCTTTAAAACTATACCGGACGTGGGAATCAGTCACGAGTGTGTGAGGAATGGAATTCCGGTTGAACTTCTGATTGATGCAAGCCCAGTGGCACAACTACTGAAGCGAACATTTGAGTCGAGCAATGTTTTGGACAACTTTTAAGATGAGTACAAGGGAAATAGGAGCAGGAGTCATGTAATTGTGTGGCATCTAGCAGGCGTGGGTCAGGACTGAAGTTGGAAACTAACGTGGTAGGACAATATTACCAGGGAGGGGTATAATAGCAAGTGGCGCATTGTTTCACACGCACGGTCACGGGTTCGGGTCCCGGAGCCAACCAAACACTCCATTTCGTCCTTGCGGGGTCGGCTAGTTCGCCACAAGTCATTCTTTAGCCACGTTCGCATTCAATAGGCCACTACAATTTTGGATGGAAGTCAAATGCATGCCTGCATCCCTCCGACTGGATAGATTAACGCCCCAAGACGTTATCCTTTGAGATTCATAAATAGGGCGTCGCAATAACACTAGGGAATAATCATTTGCTGGCTGACAACATAGCACTTATTGGTAGCGATGATTGCACGCATACCTCCTCCAAAAAAAACCATTGCAAAGGATCTCTTGCGAGAGCCCCGCGCTCGCAACATGTGCATGCTTGCCCGTGGGGTTCTATCAGAGGATTAAACCAGCAAATTCCTTAGACATACAATTCCTTGAACAATCTCTTTTCAATGATTTGTTCTGCCGTTACTGGATTACACACGGTCTCAGAAACATTGTGCTCTCGTGAAAATGAGATCATCCCCACACGCAATTCGCTAATCGCAGCACATCCCCAAGATACTCATGTCATCCGTTGGTGCACCGCTTCTTGAAAAAACTACATCTTTGGCACAAGGTCACTATCGTTATGGCTATCTGGGATATTCAACAGCACTGTCTATTCCTCTCCCAAGACCTGAACTTGATTTCAGCCAAGGCCGCGAGAGCGCTAGAAAGACTCTGAATGAGCTCTAAAGTTTTCAAATTTTATTTAATTTTAAATCACAGTTCTTCCCAAGCATATTCCTTCTTCTTCAGAAACGAAGAGGTGTAAATGTTACCATTATACCACATAAGCCTACTTGATATGAGTCATTTACTGATATGAATTGAGGAGAACAGGCTGTCGTTTCACTCCCATTGAGATAAACTGGTTGATAAGAGGTACGCCATGTCATTTCAAAGAGCGTCAAATAAACTCTTAGCTTGTGAAAGTGTTGTTTGGAGAAAGGGCACCGCTCATTTTAAACACGAGAGCTAAGGGCAGGGCAGAGAAGATAAGTAGTCTTTAGGAACGTTTCTAAGCCGTCGAAGCATAGATTGTTCTAATTGAAATTCAGGAGGGAAGGAGCACCGTGATGGGTGGGCCAATCGAATGTTCAGTTACCACGCAGTTCCAACTTTTGGCACGAGCAATCATTCCACCCGCCCCGATGCTCCACTCTCAAGTTTGGGTGAAACTACATTCCCTGGGGTAATTGTAAGAACCGTCTCCAAATGTAGGTTATATCGGCTATCGCTCCTCTGCGCTCAGACGCCCAATGTTGAAGTGTAGCGGTGCCCCTCCCCAACTACCTTCTCACCACTCAAGGAAATGAGCTGTTCATATTGTCAAATCTTTGAACGAAAAATAACCCCATTGTACATATTCAGCGACTGAAGGAGGAAACATTAAGGGTGAGACATGAGCTTGCACAAAAAAGGAACCAAGAGGTCGGAAAAGTTTTAGGGCGCCTAAAAGGGTCGAGCTACGGTGAACTGAAAGCTTATCTTTCATCAACTTCCTAAGCCTACGAAGGCATATGACTGACCTAAATGGAATGAAAAACTATGGGAGACGTCAAAAGTCTCGCAATAAAAGCCTTTCCGAAAGTTTCTTCTCACTAATTAATGTACACATTCCTCAGTCGAATAGAAACAGAAGCTCTCCAGCTGATAATCACATCATCTTAGAGCATCCTTTTGTGCTTTGCCCGATTATCTATAGACATAGCCCATCGCAAACACTCCAAAACGAGAAAAAATGAGATTACAGCAGCTATGGCTTTGCCCAGACCCTAATGTTTTGAAGCTAGCTCGACAGATATGCCTTGAATTGCGCAAAATTGAATGCGAACTTGATTTCAATGGCGCAAAGAAGAATTACTACTGAGTCGGGGTTGGAAAAAAAGAATCAATGGCTAATTGATTGCTGCGTACTAATCATTTCTACTACCTCGGTGCTTCTCCACATCTGAGTTGTAAAAAATTATGTTCTCCTGAAGAAGAAACGTTTCCCAGCGCCATTACAGGTTTGCAAGGCCCTCCCACTCTGACTATGTCACCCAGTGTTAGAAGAAAGGGGTGACCCTGCAGTTTCGTCCAAAATTGTAAAAACAAAGAGGAAAGTGGAAAAGAGACAATGAAGCACCCGTGCAACAACACGACTGAGAAACTGAACATCAGCTCAACATAACATGTTGCTGTATAAGACTTGTGACATTTTCGTAAACACTATTTATCTGGCCGCTTGCGAAATATCGCGATGACTGTTGATGGGCCGTGCGCCCACTGCAGTAGTAAACAAAGGGCTCCTTCTTGTTACCAGAATGGATCAAATGAGGCGTACTATTTGGCCCGGTTGGTTCCAAACAGTCCCTCCTGAAGCACTCAATTTAGAAAACAGCTATTAACAGTGCTGCTTTCGGATCTTTCTCTTCTATCATTCTATAACATGATTCGAAAGCTTTGAATTCGGGGATCTTAAGGAGTATTACTGCTTTGAACGCCCCTCAACTGAAAGATAGTGAATTCACCTCCATGCGAGAAGTGTCTGCCTCATCGAAAACGACAGCCATCAGCCCTCAAACTATCACGACCAAAAAGCGTACGTCTTCTGGTGTCTCATCAACCCTGCAGCAGACAATGTCAACAGCTCAGTTGCCTGCCAGTCTTTGCTCCATCGCCCTCGCCTTAAAGCACTTACAGAAGGATTGTTTCAAAAGAAGAAACCCGGGAATCCCACCTTAATTATACAAGGAAGGGAGAGCGACTGCTTAGCGTAGGTAATGTGTCAGCGCTGTAAGCAAAATCTGGTTTCCATTAAAAAAAAGTGTTGCTCTGCTTTCAATGAACCTGCACAGCTTCGCTTCACTTGGAACTCCTATCAAGTGGTATTACGGTGGCAGTTGCTGCCTAGGGGATCATCAATTTTTCGAGGGAGCACCATCAAATACTCATTTCGTGCCTGTCGCCAGCCGTTGTGGTCCAGTGGATCGCTCCCGCTCGAGGGGCACATAACATAGCATTCATTTCATTCAGAGCTGATCGCAGCATCATTTGCAGCTTAGGAGGTACTGTGAAAATCATACATCTTAAAATAGCGGAATAGTTCAGGAGATCAGCATTGGCTTAGAACGAGACCGCCGACTGAGAAGTGCTGTCTCCACTTGGATACCCCAGCACCTCATACTGTCCTGCTACCATTTTTCGAAAAATCATTCGGAAAAGAGAAACCAATGATTTTGCCACCCTCAGCTCCTACGCCTGAACACCTGCGGAAGCATCGATGGCAATTCGTAGGAAGTAACGGCGACTATATTATACATCAATGTCGGTTCAGTCCAAAATAATAAAAATTTGACGGAAACGTCGCAAACTCTCGCACCAACTTGATATTTCGGAAAATTCACAAAAAAACAAATAAAAAACAAGATCGCAAGGTTTCAAAACGAACTCACCCCCATACATAGGCTGGTATTGTTATTGTGAGTAGAAGTAACAACATTACGCGAAAATCGATCGTTCGTAAAAGGGGCGATGGATCGATCAGCGGCGGCGTAGTTTAAGACCACCGCGGAAAACAGCTGCCGGTGTTCACTCCTTTTCCCTGTATAGAAGCTTTTTAAAGAGTGTTTTCATCTTACCAGTGAACATATAGTTTTGGAAAACATAAAAATATGTTTTAAAACTAGTTCTTGTTCCTAACCTTACAAAATGATGTCTTTGTAGTTCATGTGTGACAAAATAGAAACCGGAAATGAGTTTTCTGTACTGTGTGAAATTGAAAGCTTTAATTTATTCTCTAAGTGTTGCTGAAGTCAAAAGTCGTTTTCCTCGATTTTTTTGTATCGAACCCGAATGACTCTGGAGGTTCCCTGGGTGGCCTGGGTGAAAATGTAATTAGGGGGGTGGGGGTGGGGTTGGGGCAACATAACAGTTAGTATATCAAGGAACTAACACGGTATTACTTGCTATTCTGTGTCATACCGGGACAGATGGATGCTATTTTTTAGCTAACCAGAAGGCTCGGGAGGTAAGGAGCACCGGGCTGGGTGAGTATTCTGCTATTCGCTCGGGGTAATCATCTCACCCACCTCAGTGATCCTACCCTCCTAAGGCTTCGTTGAAAAACTTGCCCCCCCCCCCCCCGGGTAAAACTGCATAAAAGCGCATGGCACAGATGGCCGGTGAACATCCTCCTCTTCGTCTTCGATAGCGTTGGTATAACACGGATTAACAAGTAGCGCCGTGTTAACTGCATTGTCTTACTAACGCTACTATGTGCGGCCGTGATACATTACAGAAGTGTGGATTAAGGATTGCGTCATGTAATTGTTAGTGACCCCAAAACGCGGTTGTGTTTGAGGACGTACTCGAAAGGGAACGTTCCTGTGGATAATCCTCTGCGTACATACTTAGGATGAGCGATTGGCTCTTCACTGTGGGCATGCTTAATATGCTGTTGTGTACAGAGAGGGGTCATGTTGTCATTTATTTTTCTTTCAAGCGGTCTGCTAAATTATTATTCGTCTTGTTAGTCTCCCGTTCCTGTTAGTCCTGTTAGTTAGTCTGATATACCTCTTTGCTCCATAATTCACTTACTATATATTATTCGCTAAAAGTGTCTGTTGGTTTGTCGGTGTGTTTGTGTTTGTGTTTGTGTGTGTCGGTGTGTGTGTCTGACCGGAAACTCATAACTCCTGTCCCAGAGGACCCAGAGGGTTCATACTTGGTAGGAGTACGGAGGGGGGGGGGGGGGGGGGGGGGGGGGGG